GCTATAAATTGGATTAATTGTATTGAATTGTTTAAACTGTTTTGACGTCATTTATTTTGTTTAATTATTATTTCTTTTATTCTTTTTTCGCGCGCATATTATTTTATTAATTATATTTATTGGCCAAATCGTTATTTTATTTTATTTTATTTTATTTATCTCTACTACTAATATTATCTCTGGAAGATAATTTTGTTAATTCTTATAACAGATACTCTCTCAAGGTTTCATCAAAACAATATCGACTTATACCAACTTGAACATATTAACCCAACAGCCACCGCTATTGAAGTATTACAAGCTTATTCTCCTGATTTATCATGTAAACTGTGCTATCCTCCTCAACGTATAGCTACTCTTTCAAATTTTGGTAACTTTTGGAATTGGTATTCTAGAACTTATAACACTACATCTTATAGTTCAGTTACTGAGCAAAGTTTTAGAAATTTACGTACTGTTAACCGGAAACTTGCTCGCTCTGCTACACGTGATATTATTTTTAGTTGCAGATATAGTGACAATATACCAGCTCCTCATTCTGTAATTTCTATTTTATTTCGTCATTTTACTTCGTATATTAACATCCCACAGATTGAAGAAGTGGATCAAAATCACTATGATATATATATTGATCACCCTAATAATTCTTCTTTACCTATTCAACCTATTCAACATATTCAATACTCTGAGAAATTAGGATCAACTTCTCAACACTTAGAACATAGTGACCGCTCTATTCACGTTACTACATTTTCACCTGATACTACTACAATCTTTGAATCTGATATTGAACAACAATTTTATCAATCTGCTGAAATTCCTGAAAATATAACTAACGTTCAATTTCCTATACTAACTACTGAGTCCTCTTTCTCTTCAAACAGTACTGATCTTTTAGAAGCTTCAAGATCGGTAAAATTCGAAGACAAACGAAAAGGACCTTATACTATTTATGCTAAACTTGGAAATGGAGCTTACAAGTTATGAAATGAAAAAGGCCAGATTTTGAAACAATACTTTAATAGTGATAGACTCGAAAAATATTATGAACAGAAAAGTTGGGAACCACACATCATAATCGAAACATAGACAAAGATTTATAATATTTATTCATTTACTTTATTATTAAATTTCATTACTTTATTAATTATTAGTTAGTACATTTAAAATCATTTTATTAGATTAGAATTTTAAACTAAAAAATTTATTAAGAAAGTAAAAAGAAAAATAAAACAAAGAAGAAATGAAAATAGGAATAAAAACCATTTCAACCCAACAAAAACTCTGACTACCCTCCAAAATACTCCACAACGCCAAAATCTCCGCCTCCAACTCATCGATCTCTGCCTCCAAATCCTGCACCCGAACCATTAACTGATTTTGATCCACCCACAACCTCTTCACCCGAACGTTATTAAGGAAATTCTGCCGCACCAGCTCAGTCGAATCGTACTCTTGAAGCCGCGACTGAAGGTTCGCGACTTGGTTTCATAATCTTCAGACTATTTCAGATACCGACTGGCTTTGTGGTGTTCTGGGCATCTAAAAGTTGACCAAGAAGTTGTTAGAAAAAGGATGCTTCTTCTATGTGCATACACTTGAAAATGAGATATAGGAAAAGAAAAAGGAAGTAATAAAGAGAAATGTTCACTGGGGCCATGCAATTAATTATGCAAGTCATGAAAAAAAATCAATTGTCCAAGCACAAAGGATTGTTAGCTCACCCAGACATGGACGGCTGGCGTTTATCCTCACAAGCATAAGACTCACAAAGCTGAGCACACAGCCCGAAAGTATACACACCTTCAACAAAGGAAAAACAGCAAGAAGACAAGCAAGACAAGAGAAAAATTCTAACGAAATTTAGAACTAAAGAAAAGAAAAGAGATGAGTATTAGATAAAAAAGTTTTTACATAAAAGACTAATAGAAAGGAAATTGTTCCAAAAGGAAGATTTGTGTGGAAAAATTTTGAGAAACAGATACAGGAAAAACAAGAATATAAATAAAATTAGAACAATTGGTAGATTTTCTCATGCCAAGAAAATTGCTACATGAAATCAACAAAGAAAATTACAAACAATAATGATGTGATTTACAAATTCAGAAAAAAATTAGTAATTTAGAAAAATTCAAATCTAAATTTAGTACAGAATCTAGAATAGGTTCGGAGATCTCACAATTTTTAAGGGGAGAAAAGACAAGAAATGACTAAAACACATGTTAGGTTAGAATTTTTGCTAAATTCGTTAAATTGCTAAGCATTGTTTATAAGATTTTTGAATATAGTTAGCACAAATGAAAACACATGCAAATGGATTTTAGCATGTGGACGTACAAAGGAAACAAGCATAGGTTAAACAAAATAGAAAAAGTGTTTCAATTATATAGCACAAGTAAACACTTTAGAAAATATTTAAAGAGTTAAAATTTGCTTTTCATAATTTTAATCTTAATAATTTTAATTCTAACGCACTTTGAAAACTTTAACAAATATCTTATTAACCCTACGATGACTACTGCACCCTCTTGGATTGACCCCTTGCTTT